GTATGTCCAGTCTTTTCTAGTAGCCTCTTAGTCACAAACACTGGCTACTAAAAAAGACTGGACATATCCCATTTGCAATACCTTGGGTTGTCTACTTTTGCAAATGGTATGCCATCATGGGGGTAGTTCTCATTCCTGGACTACCAAACGGTCTCAAAAGAAACATAACCAATCGGGCAAATTTCTTTGTGAAAAAAAGGAAACTCAAGCCTTATATTTGACTCAGTAACTTTTGAAACTTTTGAAGTTACAGGGTTATTGGGTAGGTCCCTCAAATTGTTATTAAAGGAACACTATAGTCACCAGAACAACTACAGCTTAAAGGACCACTCTAGGCACCCAGACCACTTCAGCTTAATCAAGTGGTCTGGGTGCCAGGTCCAGCTAGGGTTAACCCATTTTTTTTTTTTATAAACATAGCAGTTTAAGAGAAATTGCTATGTTTATGAATGGGTTAAGCCTTCCCCCATTCCCTCTAGCGGCTGTCTCATTGACAGCCACTAGAGGCGCTTGCGTGCTTCTCACTGTGATTTTCGCAGTGAGAGCACGCAAGCGTCCTTAGGAAAGCATTGATAATGCTTTCCTATGCGGGCGGCTGAATGCGCGCGCACGCATTCAGCTGACTGGGAGGAGAGAAGGAGGATCGGAAGCAGAGAGCTCCCCGCCCAGCGCTGGAAAAAGGTAAGTGTTTACTCCTTTCCCCCTTCCAGAGCCCTCAGGGCACTATAGTGCCAGGAAAACGAGTATGTTTTCCTGGCACTATAGTGGTCCTTTAATGTAATTGTTCTGGTAAGTATAATAGCTCTCTTCAGGCATTTTCATGTAAACACTGCCTTTTTAGGGAAAAGGCAGTGTTTATATTGCCCCTAGGGACACCTCCAAAGTGCCACTCCTTAGATGGCCACTGGAGGGGCTTCCTGGCTCCAGGCTGCACTGTAAGCAGCCCTGTGGTTCAGCATCCCCACGCTCTGCATGGAGACACTGAATTTTCCTCATAGAGATGCATGATTCTCTCCTTAATCCCTATGTATATTTAAACAAATGGAGGTAATTTAGTCACTCCACTGGCCATTGGAGGGAATGCCCGTCTGCCAAAGTCAAGGCAGACTTCCCCTAAGCGGGTCCTACCTTGCTTCCTAGAGCTTCTGGCAAAGATATGTCTAACGAGACAGAGAGGGGTATTTTTTATATACATCCCTATATTTTTATTAAACCTTAATAGGGAACACATGGGATGGGCAGCAGCATTGTAACAAAGCTGTGTGATACAAAAAGTGAATACAAATACAGAAAGATAAGTCCTGCGCTCACTCCCATCACTCCTGGGTATCAGCGACTACAGCCCCAATATATAGTAAAAACAAAAGGAAATAAAGTTACCTGTGCTCTCTCCTTAAGCCCTATGTATTTTTAAACAAATGGAGGTTATTTAGTTACTCCAATGGCCATTGGAGGGAATGCCTGCCTGCCAACATCAAGGCATCCTTGAGCTTCTGGCAAAGATATCTCTAATGAGGCAGAGAGGGGTATTTTTTATATACACCCCTATATATTTATTAACCCTTAATAGGGAACACATGGGATGGGTTAAGGAAAAGAAAGAAATCTCTATATTAGGCAATAGATCAAGAGGAAAAATTGGAGACATTGGAAGTCCAAGCTAGGACATATAAAGATATTAACAAACAAAATGGAAGAAATGGAACAGAAAATTGCGGATTTGGAAGATCGGTCTAGAAGAAACAATGTAAGAATACGTAGAATACCTGAATCCATAACTAAAGAAAATCTGGAAAACGACCTCTCTGAAATTCTTATTAAGCTGGGAGTTTTACAAGCAGACCAGCCATATATCTGGGAAAGATGCCACAGAACAGGAAGACCCCCCATCTAAACTAAAGATCTCAATGAAAGATCCACCAAGTGTTGTTCTACATCGAAAATTAAGGATAATATACTCAGAGCTAAACGAGAGAAAAATTTACAAGAGCTGTACGATAAGAGGAAATTCTCTGATGGAAAGGTAAAGTAAGCGAAACTTAGAATTATGGTAATAAACAGAATAAAACCAATTTTAGATAATTAAATATTGAGAAGGAAGAGAGGTTGAGATTGAAGACGCGCCCAAGCCTAGGGACGGTTAACCTGCATTGGCTCTAAAGCCATAGATTTATGGTACTAATTTCCACAGATATTTATCAGCAAACTTATGCGGAAATTAATCTACACACATGGGGTGTGTGTGGTTGGTAGGGATGTTTTTTATTACAGGGAGTGCAGAATTATTAGGCAAGTTGTATTTTTGAGGATTAATTTTATTATTGAACAACAACCATGTTCTCAATGAACCCAAAAAACTCATTAATATCAAAGCTGAATATATTTGGAAGTAGTTTTTAGTTTGTTTTTAGTTACAGCTATGTTAGGGGGATATCTGTGTGTGCAGGTAACTATTACTGTGCATAATTATTAGGCAACTTAACAAAAAACAAATATATACCCATTTCAATTATTTATTATTACCAGTGAAACCAATATAACATCTCAACATTCACAAATATACATTTCTGACATTCAAAAACAAAACAAATCAGTGACCAATATAGCCACCTTTCTTTGCAAGGACACTCAAAAGCCTGCCATCCATGGATTCTGTCAGTGTTTTGATCTGTTCACCATCAACATTGCGTGCAGCAGCAACTACAGCCTCCCAGACACTGTTCAGAGAGGTGTACTGTTTTCCCTCCTTGTAAATCTCACATTTGATGATGGACCACAGGTTCTCAATGGGGTTCAGATCAGGTGAACAAGGAGGCCATGTCATTAGATTTTCTTCTTTATACCCTTTCTTGCCAGCCACGCTGTGGAGTACTTGGACGCGTGTGATGGAGCATTGTCCTGCATGAAAATCATGTTTTTCTTGAAGGATGCAGACTTCTTCCTGTACCACTGCTTGAAGAAGGTGTCTTCCAGGAACTGGCAGTAAGACTGGGAGTTGAGCTTGACTCCATCCTCAACCCGAAAAGGCCCCACAAGCTCATCTTTGATGATACTAGCCCAAACCAGTACTCCACCTCCACCTTGCTGGCATCTGAGTCGGACTGGAGCTCTCTGCCCTTTACCAATCCAGCCACGGGCCCATCCATCTGGCCCATCAAGACTCACTCTCATTTCATCAGTCCATAAAACCTTAGAAAAAATCAGTCTTGAGATATTTCTTGGCCCAGTCTTGACGTTTCAGCTTGTGTGTCTTGTTCAGTGGTGGTCGTCTTTCAGCCTTTCTTACCTTGGCTATGTCTCTGAGTATTGCACACCTTGTGCTTTTGGGCACTCCAGTGATGTTGCAGCTCTGAAATATGGCCAAACTGGTGGCAAGTGGCATCATGGCAGCTGCACGCTTGACTTTTCTCAGTTCATGGGCAGTTATTTTGCGCTTTGGTTTTTCCACACGCTTCTTGCGACCCTGTTGACTATTTTGAATGAAACGCTTGATTGTTCGATGATCACGCTTCAGAAGCTTTGCAATTTTGAGAGTGCTGCATCCCTCTGCAAGATATCTCACTATTTTTGACTTTTCTGAGCCTGTCAAGTCCTTCTTTGACCCATTTTGCCAAAGGAAAGGAAGTTGCCTAATAATTATGCACACCTGATATAGGGTGTTGATGTCATTAGACCACACCCCTTCTCATTACAGAGATGCACATCACCTAATATGCTTAATTGGTAGTAGGCTTTCGAGCCTATACAGTTTGGAGTAAGACAACATGCATAAAGAGGATGATGTGGTCAAAATACTCATTTGCCTAATAATTCTGCACTCCCTGTATGTGATGTTCGTATTGTATTTATTTGGTGTTTCTTGTAAGTTCGGCAGTGCAGCTCTGGAGAGAGGAAGTAAAAAGGGGGTAAAGGAACATTAGAATAGCAACATTTAATGCTCAAAGGATTAATTCTCCACAAAAGAGATCATTGGTATATCACTTTTTAAAACAATAAAAAATACAGATATGTGCTGTCCACGAGACTCACTGGATAACGGGTAAGGAGAAAAGAATGACATCTAAGGAGTTCCCAATGATATTTAGTGCAGCCTTCGAGAGCAAGAAAAAGAGAGGAGTGGAAATCCTCTTTTCTAGAAATATATCCCTGGAAATAATATATCAGGATAGCGATACAGAAGCTAGATATGCAATTGTGATTTGTATGATTCGCATAGATACTTTTACTTTGGTAAATATCTATGTACCTAATAAATCACCAATTAAGTTTATATAGAAGATGTTTATTAAGATTGAAAGAATAAAAAAAGCAAGTCTGCTACTTATGGGAGATTTTAATTGCACAATGGAACCAAAGCTTTATAAAAAAAAAACAGAACATGTACCTCTAGGAAAATAGATAGAAATGTGATTAACAACGCAAAAAGATTGAGGGAACTAATAAGGGATAATGCTTTAGTAGATATGTGGAGGATTACACACCCCGAGGTTTTAGATCATACTTGCTTTTCGAAAACTTATTTAAATTATTCAAGGATAGATATGAATATGGAGATAGGCACTTATCTAAGCAAATAAAAAAAAAAATAGACATCAAGACCTTACTGTTGTCAGACCACAATCCTGTTGTGATGGAACTAAAAGAAATGCAAAATAGGGGACGAAACAACTGGAGGATAAATAATCTCTTGCTAAATAGAGAAGAATATCAACAACAATTGAAAAAAATAACGGAGAACATCCTGAGGGAAAATGGGGAAAGAGAGGGGAAATCACCAGGACCGGGTTGTTTTAAAAATCTGTTTTATAAAATAATGAAAGAGGCTATGAAGGGACCCCTGACTAACATATTTAATGTGATAGCGGAAGGGAAAGATGTACCTAAAGAATTATTGCAAGCAACTGTTATAACAATACCGAAAGAAGGGAAATACCCTGAATTGATTAGTAATTACCAACCTATCTCGCTCATTAAAAACGATATTAAAGTATACTCTGCGACATTGGTAGAACAGTTAAAGCAGGTTGTTTCCACACTGACCCATCCATATCAGGTGGGTTTCATCCCAGAAAGATCATTCACAAATAATGTTAGGAGATGGATAGACATTTTGAATGCAGTGCAAACTGAGGGCAGACCCCACCTGACCCTGTCTTTGGATGCTGAAAAGGCGTTTGACAGGGTCAGGTGGGGTTTCCTCTGGGAAGTTCTAAGGAAATTTGGTTTTGATGGATGGATGTTGGAGGCCATTAAGGCCTCGTATTCAGCTCCAACTGCATGGGTACTACCGCTGGCTTCTCAGATTAGAGAAAATAAAAAGATTAAAGGGTTCGGAACAAATTCTGGTGAATTGAAACTGAACCTATATGCAGATGATGTGATAATGATCTTAGAAGAACCCGAAAACTCTTTGGAAGAAACGGTTGGGGTCATAGAACAATTCTCTGAGGTGTCTGGGTACAAGCTAAATTTTAACAAAACAACAGCTTTAATAAATAATGTTTCAATTTAAACTAAAGAGCTACTGAAAAATTAAATACAGATTTCTTTGGTTATCAGATATGAAATATTTGGGTATAATGATATCCTGCGACCCCAACAGAATAATAGAAGGAAATATTTTACCTCGTATTAAACAAATGTCTAAACAATTGAAAGATTGGGGCAAGATGGAATTGACATTCTAGGGAAGAATAAATATTTTAAGATCATATGTCCTCCCCAGATGGCTATATCTTCTTTGTATGGTTCCACTTTCTGTCCCCAATAGC